AGTAGAGAGACAGACTTGTGGAGATGGGGAAGATGACAAGAAATGGGAGAAAATAGGTAGTAAAAGGAAATAAGTATAAGGATCAAAAATGATGAAGATATGACTTATGTGTGTACCAGCTCCTCAAAATGAAGTAACTATTATTTATTGTAATCATACACTAAAAAAGAGAAGCTAGGGGCCGGGAGTTGGCTCAGTGAAATAAGTGCTTCCCTGGCAAATGCAAGGGCCTGAGTTCAATCCCCGGTTTTGCAAAAAAAAAAAAAAAAGCGAGAAAGAGAGAAGCTAATATTAGTAGATGTGTCCAAAGATCTAAAGGTAAATGCAAAAGCAATAAATGCCTTGAAAAGAAATCACAGAGGTAAACTCTCATGACCTTGAACATGACAGAGAACTTTTAGATATGATTAATGGCCCCCACAAGAAAAACAATAGATTGCAAGTCACAAAAATCAGGAAAATGACAGAAAAATAAAAGAATGAGAGAAACATTTGCAAATCATTCATCTGCAAATATCTGCTAAACGTGATAAGATATTCCAAACCATCACCTGTCAGAGAAATGCAAATTAGGGCCACAAGATATGATTTCCAACACATTAGTTAGGAAGGCTAGGGAAGGAAAATGAAAAATAGAAAAGATTTGGGGACCTTGTGAAAAAATCAGGACCTTCGACCTCCGCTGCTTGGAGCACAAACGGATCCAGCTGTTTGGAATACTGTCTGGCAGTTGCTCAAACAATTAAACCAGATGACCTGTGACGTCTCCTAGAAATAGATTCAAGAACACTCCAAAGTTATGTCTAAAACCTTTGTTATAACAGCATTTTATATAATAACCAAAAGGTAGAAACAACACCAATGCCCTTCAACAGACAAATGGATAAATAAAATACAGTTTGAATGGCAATGGAATACCGTCTCTGACAAAAGTAAACAAAAAAGGGGGATGTAAATGAAGGACCATTTTGTAGTGAAAAAAATATGTCTGTATATACAAAATAGTTAGCATAGATATACAGCTACTTTCTTTTAGTTCAATGAGGAGAAAGATTTGTACTAACAGTGTTTAGACAAGATATCATGTCTGTATCTTGTACTATGAATAACTACTATGAAAACAACAATATACAATGAATTAATTATTGTAACTGTCCTACTAACCTGTTTTGAAACTGTCTCATTGCTATTTCTTTCTCAATAAAATTAATATAAAAAATAAAATACAGTATATTCATACAATGGGATAATAGGCATGAGAAATGAATGATGAGTACATGCTAAATAAGTGTGCATGTTGAAAAGTGGAAGTGAAAGAAATCAGTCACAAAAGATAACACACGATGGCTCCGTCCATATGAAAGGCCTGAATAGGGAGACCTATCAGGCAGAAATTAGATGAGGTGTGTACAGAAAGCTGGAGTAGGAACATAAATGGGAAGGACGGAGGAGTAGTAGCTGATACATTTTCCTTGAGTTTATGAAACTTCAATGAAATTGTAGTGATCACTGCATCTATAGATGAAGCTATTAAAATATGCTGCTGTACTAGACTAGAAGCATTTTAAAGGGGTGAGTGAGGTAGTATACGATCTCTCAATGGAGCTACTCAAAAAGATTCTAATTTCTAAAACAAAAAGAGGCATAGACAATAAACAATACTCCTGCACAATGATGAAAATAAGGAGGCCATCCTCGATGAGGTTAGCAGGATTGTTAATCAATAATGTTTTTTAAAATTGTTGTAATCAGAACAAAAAGAGATTGTACAAAATACAGATGTTTTGAAATGGACAGATGTGTTCCATCTGATATATTTGTGTGTAGTCTATAATATATTCTGTAATATATTTATATATAATCTATAGCATATATGACATTTCTGTTGCTTTATAATGCCTCTTCCTGTTATTCCTGATATTTTGAGATATTTTATTAATAATAGTCATAAGGTTGATACTAATGCACATTTTCTTAATCACAGAAATGCAAATGAATTAGTAAAGTGTAGCTGATAGGTTTTGCCCACTTTAATTCATTTCAGCATTATTTATTTATTTATATTTTTTGGTGGAACCAGGGATTGAACTCAGGCCCTTGTGCTTGCCAGGGAAGTGCTTATTCCACTGAGCTATCTTCCCGGCTCCATTTCAGCATTTTTTGTGCTGAAACACGCGCTTATTTGCCTTTTCCTTTGAAGGATGGTAACATATCAGCTCCCTTGTTTATGAGTTCCACCGAATTTTGGTGCAGTTTTAGTTTTTGTATGTGTAAGTCACGAATGTGCCTTCTTTGAAAAATTATCTTCAGTAACCAGGTCTGGTGGTGCACACCTGCATTCTAGCAAAATGGGAAGCTGAGGTAGGAGGGTCACACACTGGAGAGACCAACTTCTTCGGGCAACTTGGAGAGACCTTGCCTCAAACAAAATTTAAAACCTGGGGGTAGGGATCAGGGTCAGTGTGACAAGCTTGGCCTCACTCCCAGCCCACAAAAATAAATGGCGTGCAATATTTTTCTAACTTTTATTTCTAGTTTTTAATATAAAACTTCACAAAGGAATACAGGCCATAAGTCCCTAATTATTTCCTATGTATGATCAACTTTTCTCTTGTGGCATAAAGGAGAGCTGTATATCTTATAGTTTGTTTGATTATTTAGCTTGAAAAGCAAATTTGTGACTTAGTTAATTAAATCCAATTATTGATTTATTAAAACTTCAAAGAAGGTAACAAAGACATATTGA